ATCCCTGCTCCCACCATGATGCCGTCCACTGTGTTGTGACACAGCCAAGGTGGCTTTCCCAAGAAGTCACACAAGTTCAGCCAAAGGATCTTGGACTTCCAGCCTCCGGATGTAGGAATTAGATGAACTTCTTTTTTAAGTGCCCTGCCTCAGAGATGTTGTTATAGCATCAGAAGACAGATAAAGTTATCACATGTGTAATTTGACGTATAATAGAACTAACACTGATGATCTACACAGAAGTGAAGACTACTTCATAATAGATGTTTCTGAGACAAGTGACTACTTGTATATGAAAAATAATAAAATGGATCACTAACTTACATCATTCTCACGTTTAATTAAAGACATAAATGGAAAAGACACATTGTAAAAGGTTTTGTTGTTGTTGTTGTGTTTTGGAGGGGGAGGGGAGTCAAGACAGGGTTTCTCTGTCTACCTTGGAACTTGTTCTGTAGACCAAGCTGGCTTCAGACTCACAGAGCTCCATCTATCCCTGCCTCCTAAATACTGGGGTTAAAGATATGTACCACCACCTCACTTTAAAAAAAAAAAATTGTGACATCATGTTAAGGGCTCTTAAATAAGAGTCACAGAGTTTTAACACCATAGAAAAATTCTAAACAACTTTTACCTGGTTTAAGTTAAAAGCTGCTTTTCTGTATAGTAACAAACCTCCTCAGGCCATATCAGAGTAAGCACCCTCCCGACAGAGCCACAGCCTCATTCAACTGATTTCTCTTCCCATCCCTAATATCCATTACATCAGAAATCCTCTTACCTGTGCTTCTGAAATACAGCTGTAGCTAGGCATGGTAATGGTAGTGTACAACTACACTCCCAGCATTCAGGAAGCTGAGGTAGGACAATCAGGACCTCAGGATGACCAGCCTGAATTACACAGTAAATTTGAGGCCAGTCTGAACCGGTACAGTGAGACTTTCTAAAACTAATAAAAATTAATTTTATTAAAGATGAAAGGAAATTATCATACTAATGATATAGATATGCTTATATTTGTTTGTTTTCAAGACTATATCTCACTGTGTAATCCTGGCTAGCCTGGAACTCACAGAGACCTGCTTCTCAAGAAATATTAGAACTAAAGTCATATACCACCACGTTTACCACAGCCTGTGTATTTTTATAGAAGTAATTGAATCTCAGTGCTAGGGAGATGGCTCAATAAGTATAAAGAACCTGTGTGCAAGCATGAAGATCTGAGTTTGGATAGTAACACCCACACAAAAAATGCAAGGTGTGGTTGCACATATCGGTACCCAGCAAAGTGGGAGCAGAGATGGCAGACTGTCATAGGTGATCACGTGGTTCAATGGAGCCCTGCCTCAAAGGTAATCAGAGAGAAAACACACTTACACTCATATACACATGCACACACATGTGCACATGCACAAGCATGCACATGCTACACATATAAATTAATAAGAAAGAATTAAATCTTGGCTGAGTGACATTATAATATGTAGAACATCTTCAGAGATTTTTTTCAGAGTTAATATAGATTTTATAATTATCACTGCTGAGGATACAACTCTGCATAAATACCTAGTACAAACTGGCAGGAGGCATGTTTAGGACCTTTTCAGATATTGTTGGAAGTTCTGCCCTAATCACAAGCCAAAACTCATTTCACAATTTATTTATGAAACTCAAGTCTGCAGCCCAAACAGCAAACTTCAAATCAAACATTCTAACACCGTGTAGTCTAAGGATATAATAATTTGATCCTCACACTGAGGCATGATGGGAGGAAAATACAAAGATGTTTTCTATATTTAAACCATTATGATTCTGTAAGAACAGAAGTGCTTGTATAGACAGTACAAATACTGCAATTCATAGTATACAATAGCTTTGCATCTGAGCTAATATCTTTCAGGAAGTGTGTTCTGTGGTGTAACAGCATGTGTAGTGTAAAGTGTGCATACTGTGTGTTCAGAACTAAGGCTATAATGTACACAAGTATTGACAGAAAACCATCAGATTCAATACACATTTGATTTTTGAATTAATTGTTGGTTGTGCATTCAGAAACCTTTTACTATTGCCAAATTTCTCATGGCCCCCACATTCGGACTTGTGATCTCATAATGGGTGGAATCCAGTTTAAGAAGCTGGGCTGGTGCATTCTTCACACCAGAGCCAAACGGATGTCATTAAAACAAACTAGAGCATCCTACCAACCATCTTGATTTAAAAAAAAAAATCTTCAAAAAAGAATTTTAACAAAAAGATAGGTCAGATCATTTAGATGACCACCTTTTATTTGACTGCTGTTTTGGGTTTGGGATTCTACATTTGAGATTATGGGTGCACTACCCACCAAGCTCCATGCAGAGTAATTAATAAGCCCTGGCTAGTCTTATGTCAACTTGACACAAACTAGAATCAACTGTTATGATTCATAACAGTAGCAAGATGACAGTTATGAAGTAGCAAGGAGAATAATTTTATAGTTGGGGGTCACCACAATACCAGGAACTGGATTATAAGGTCACAGCCTTAGATTGTAGGCAGGCAGGCTTAATTACTGATTGATGGGAGAGGGCCCAGCCCACTGTGGGTGGTACCATCCCTGAGCTGGTGGCCCTGGGTTCTACAGTAAAGCAGGATAGCAATCCATGGGGACAAGCCAGTAGTCAGATCCCTTCCATGGCCTCTGCATCAGCTTCTGTCAGGGTTTCAGTTCCTGCCTTGGCTTCCATCAATCAACTGTAGTTCAGGATATATAAGCTAAATAAGTCCTTTCCTACCCAAGTTGCTTTGGGTCTTGGTGTTTCATTATAGCAATAGAAAAGCAACTAGGACATTTATTGTATGTAAATGATGTTATCCAGTGAAGGTCCAAGAAAGCCAAGGCATATTGAACAAGGGAAAGTCTCATCATAGGTTAAAGAAAGACTTAGAGCACTGAGTAATCTGCAACACTGAAAAATGTGCATAGGTCTCAAAGTAAGAGAAGTGGACCAAGAAAGACAGGACAGAGGGATTTGCTTTCTGAATTTTTAAGGTCCAGCAAAACAGTATCAATGATCACAAAGAATAAGTGTTCACTTGAATTTACTGGTCACACAGTTCTGCTTCATTTAGTTTACAAATGCTTAGTCATTATAGTCACATAAAAGCTACATATGACTTTATATATGGTTTTATATTTGCAAACATTTAACATACTAAAAATACTTTAACAATGAAAGACTCTGGGTTGGATTCTGGTTTAAGACATTCTGCAGTGGGTAACTAGGAGCCACTAAGAATGATGTGACAGCTTTGTGCATTAGTGACATCACTCTCCGAAAACTGCGGCAGGTTGGGAATCGAGAGTCTCCAAGTGAAGGCAGAAAGAACAATCAGAAGGCTAATTAATAACACGATAGAAAACGGGAAGGCATAAAACTACTGAGATGAAAAGACTGGACAAAAATAGAATCAAAAGTACTTGGTTGTGAGAGAAGCAAAGACAGTCTCCGTGTTAAGATAAATAGCACAGGAAGGGAACATTCCAGAATGCTAGGTAAGAATGTGCACTACCCAAGCTGTGGACATTGTACCGTCCCTTCTTGCTCCCCCACAGCCCCAGCCTGGTCACTGGCTGTCGAATGTGATGAAAGAAACCACTTACTATGTTGATTTAGTGGTCAAACTTGATGCCACTCAGGGAAAACCTGAAAAACACTGAGAGACAACTGGCCTTGAAGTACCATCCTGGTAAGAATGGAAGTGAAGGAGAAGCACGTGAACAGCCTTCTCAAGCTCACAGAGCTTCCAGAAGATAAGCATCTGGATCTGGTAGAAACTGGGGGACACTTTGATCCAAACCAAGAAAGACGGCACCATTATAGTGGAACAGCAGATGAGGGGGATGTCCATCGTGTCGAGGGGAGGTCTGTGTCCAGCTGTTGTCACTGCTGGGACTTAAACTGTGACAGTGAGTGAGCAGAGCCCTCACTCATTCAATCACAATATGCCCACTACTTGCTATTGTTTTTGTTGTAATAGTCAAGTATAGTGGTGTCTTAGAAGTCATGTGAAAAATAAGCACAGAAACCAAAGTTCCGTCATGGTGGGAGAGCACAGGAAGACAAGAGATGTGACAAGAAAGACAAGAAAGAGATGATGAGTGCAATTCAGCATGATTTGCATTTTGCTTCAGCCAAAGAAAATCCAGCTATGTTTTTCTGGGTTCCAGCGTTTTAGTGACAGCTGCATTCATGAATGACCAAATTAACTATTGTAGCGCTTTCTAAAAATATTCAAAGCACTCCCTCCACTGTATGCTATAACCAAGTCATGAAACATCAGGGGAAAAAAAAAAAACCTCCAACAAAACAACCAAACAAACCAGCAAAAAAGCCAGACTTCGAAGGAAATGCATCAAGGGTAATAAGAGTTTTCCTTTTAAGACAACAAAACAAAACTAGGCGGTTAAATTTTGACCCAGCACACTCATCCGGTATTGTACTTCTGTCAATCAGAAAGCTGGGGTGATTACTTTTTCTTTAAGCACTTAAGATCACGGAGTGGCATGCCAAGTCTATGTGGGAGATGCAGAACCACACTAAAGGGGCTTACAATGAGGTCGCATTGGTATACAGTTATGGAAATTTTTAGTATGTTGGTAATTTTGAATGCGCAGGCTGAGCTAGTTCACAGAGAATGTTATTTTTTACTTAAGTCAACCTGGATTATCTTAGGCAGTCCAATAAGAATGCAAACATTTCATATTTTATTCCCTATAAGGAGGAAAACATGGAAGGAGGAAGAAAACACAGCAATTACCACAAAACCAGTCAGGGTCTCCGCTGGCCACACAAGGGCGAGCCTTTGGGAAAGAGAAATTCAATCCTACTTTGGTGGGAAAACCAGAATCTTTCACCACTAATTACAATACAAAAGCATAGTGTTTATACAACTAAATGTTTAACTCAACCTCATCCACAACGTCCCATGTAAGGCTGAGGGAAAGCCACGGGGTGTACCTTTGGAGGGTCCCACTGGACACAACGCCCCTCTGGACACGTGGCCAGAGCCTTGCAGGGCCAAAGTAGGGGTTGGCAGGCGTCCCACGACCAGGGCAGAAAAGGACTGCTCCCTGGGTGCAGGACACGCAGGTGAAGAGACACCACCAGGCGGCTGTACAGCGCCCCCAAAGCTACCCAGGTTTACAGCGTGCAGCCCGGAAGGCTACCCGACCCACTGCGCAGCCCTACGGCTCAGCCTATTAGGGCCAGAAGAAGCGGGCTGGGAGCGGAGCGGGGCGGGGCGGGGCCAGCCCTCCGCTCTGCCTGACGGAAAATGTAGTTCTGAAAAGAGAAGCCGGGGGGAAAGGCCGTGAGAACTACATTTCCGGGAGAGGGAGTGGCTACGGCGGGCCGCGAGGTGCAGCGGCAATCCCGAGAGCAGAAAGAAAGGCCAGGAAGGCACCGTTGGTTCTGTTCCTTTGCGCCAAACCCTTGTGGCGCTACGTCTTGTCTCTGTCCCGACTCCCCAGTGTGGGGCTCTCGCGTCAGCCTTCCCTTGAGGCTCGCAGGTGGCGTCTGCCAACCCTCGCGGAAGTGAGGGGCGCGCCCCTCCTGGGCCCTGCGGACCCCGAGCCTCCATGGGCCGGACCCGGAAAGCCAATGTGTGCCGCACGCTGAGTCGCCGGGCTCTGGGCTTCTACGCGCGCGACGCGGGCGTGGTGCAGAGGACGAACCTGGGCATCCTGCGGGCGCTGGTGTGCCAGGTGACGCCCGCCGTAGCCCGGGTGCCCGGGGTTCAACCTCTTGCCGGGCTGCAGTTTTTTACGCGCTCTGTTTCCCCTTTGAGGGTCAGACGTGGGGAGGGGCATCCATGTCCTGCAATTAGGGTGTTAGAAAATAGGCACTCAAAGGTCTGCTGCCTAGCTGTAGTTTTAAAAAGCTTTTGCCTTCCTGCAAACAATTGATTAAAAATGTGGACATCCAATTAAACCAACACCTATGGGCAAAGGGAGGAAAAAATAAGAAACAATGTACTTAAAAACTGTAGATTTAAACTACCCACCTAAAATGGTTCTATAATAGGGGGCTGAGTTCTTTCCTAAACTGAAAATCTTTGTATCTTTCAGGAGAGTACTAAATTTAAGAATGTTTGGACGACTCATTCCAAGTCACCTATAGCCTATGAGAGAGGAAGAATATATTTTGATAATTACCGGTGCTGTGTCAGCAGGTAAATTCTTGGTGATGATTTTTTGCTGTAATCCACCTGACCCGTAGTTTTTATAGAACCACGTGGCTTCTTTAGTGCTTAGTGAAATAGGAAGATGAAAAAAAAAAAATGAGTCCGTAATAAAACTAGGTGGAAAATGTATGTGATCTTAAAAACTTGTTAAGTCTAAAGTTGCCGACTTCGTCTTCGTAAATACTTTATTTCACACAAAATTATAGCACAGGCAAAAATAATACGTTTCTCAGCACAATTTGATGTTTTATACCATTTAAAGATCAGAGTTGAGAAAACAGGTTGTGAAATAATTAGATGATGCTTAGAAGATGGGTATTTTGTTTTAGAAGTACTTATTTTTTTCCCCTAAGAGAAAAAAATATTCAAACAAAAGTATAGTATTTTTAGATAAATAATATTTTAACAGCCTCTAGCCACTCAAGGTCAGGCTGAAGAGAATACCACAATAAATTGATGCTTCCATGCCCATTACCTAGATTAAGAAATTATGGAATTGCCTCTCTTTATCTTTCACTTTGCATGTGTAAAAATTATGGGCATTTTTCTGTGTGTCAGCCTTCAGTGGTATTCCTCAGGAGCTAATCACCTTGTTGTTGAGATAGATTCTCCTTTCACTGAACTGGGAAGCTAGGATTCCGGTAGATGGCCTGGCCAGCAAGCCCTATGAATTTGCCTGTTTCCACCTCCACAACTCTAGGATTACAAGTGGCAGAAACCATGAGTGTTGGGGATCTAAACTTGGTCCTCAGGATTGCCTGGCACCAGCTGAAGCTATCTCAGAAGTGATAACATCTAAGCTCTTTTCTTGTTGGATCAGAAACTAGAAGTCAGAGAGACTAGTGATTGTTGAGGTTCGCCTTGTCTCTAGTTGATATCTTTCTTTGGTTCTTTGACAAATTGCCCAACCTACAATTTAAGCCTTTAGTGCTAGTGGATCTACCCACTCGCCCTTGGATGTAACTTCCAATGATTTACAGAGTGCACACACACACTTGAAATTCTCCTCATCTGTTGCAGATAAAGTCAGTTTTATTGGAAAGAACTAGGGGCTGCTTTGTGACCTGCTTTTCCCAGGCAGTCTTCAGGCCAATGCCATGAAGCCCGTCCTAGGCACTGATGCAGGACTCCTCCAATAGTAAAAGCTGAGCAGTTCAGTTGGAGGGAATACTCAGGCCAGGAAAGAAAGATAAGGCCCATCTGGACCTTACAAAGAGAGGTGTACTCAGGGCCCAGTTATTCTACACCCAAAGTAGAGCCTCCATGGGAGCCCCAACTTTCAACTATACTAATGTAGGACTCAGCCGCAACAACACATGGCTGGGGGTGGGTGAAAATGCTCTCACCCTTCCCATTTCCAGAGATTGCCGTCTGAGTCAGAGCAATGAGGGAAGGATCCTGGAACTCAGTCCTAACAGTTGAGACTGTTGTTGAGCTAGAAGGAAGGCAGGAAGGGAACATGTCTGGGTCAAACACCATGGACTCCCACTGTTCTTACTGAATCCCAGGAGGCTTTCTGGAATAAATGCTTCTTCCTGTGCTTTTATGAGAAAAACCAAAGGCTTTAAGTGGTTGTCCTTTAATCATTTCTTCAGTTTTCCTGAAGACAGTGTCTATATGCTTCTGATTTTAGCAATGGCAGTCTGGACATTCTTTTATACGTTCATGATACCCATTATCTGCTTTGCAGTATTAAGAGTGACTCTTAGGCACCGTTTCATACCCAGTGTGGTGCCTTCCCAAGTCGATGACAGTTGTTTTGATTTTAAAAAGTTCAGTCAGAGTAAATGCCATTGATTAATGTCGTAGTGATAAATGATACAGGTGTTCTTCACCGTGCTGTTGAGGAGGGTTGCACCCACAGGTAGAATTGCATGAGATTGCTTTCACTCCTGTGACATTCAGTTTGATTTAAACCTTTGAGTTACAGAGAGAATATCAGAGGTGAATAAAATGTCATCCTGGAAATGGTTTCTCTTCTCAATAGTTGAACTTTAAAGTTCATCAGTTAAAAAGAAAAGAAGACATCTATGACTGAATCTCAGTAGTTGTCAGAGTAGAGACTAGCAGGGGGTGGGGTAGGGAGCTGTAGCCTCACCCAGGGAAGCTGAGGCAAGGAGGAGTGCTTGGGGACAGGCTGGGCACCCATAGCAAGATTGTTTCGAAAGTAAGCATCAAGGATACAGTTTTCACTTTTTTAGGTAAAGAGGGTATGAGTGTAGTTCCGGGAAGGTGGGGAGGGGGGTCGCTGACAGAGGGCCTGAAATGTTTCCCAGGCTAGCTTAAAGTTGCTGGAAGATACATGTTCAAAGATAGTAGAAATAGACACATATATAATATTTATGAAAGGAATAAATTAGACATAAAGAGAGTGTGTTTATTTTTGTATACACAAATGCTCATTCAAAATGTCTTAGTCAGAGTCACTATGCTGTTAGGAAACACCATGATAAAACAAACTTGGGGAGAAAAGGGTTTATTTGGCTTGTGCTTCCACATCACTGTTCATCCCTGAAGAAAGTCAGGACAGGAACTCAAACATGACAGGAACCTGGAGGCAGGAGCTGATATAGAGGAATGCCGCTCACTGACTTGCTCCTCTGGTTTGCTCAGCCTGCTTCATATAGAACCCAGGACTACCAGCCTAGGGGTGGCACCACCCACAATGGTACACTCATCAGTCACTAATTAAGAAAATGCCTGCAGGCTTTCCTACAGCATGATTTTATAGACATTTTCTTGCTTGAGGTTCCCTCTTCTCTGATTATTCTAGTGTGTGTGAAGTTGACATAAAACTAGCTAACACATAATGGGAACTTTTTTTTTTAATCTATTATCCTTCTTAAGAGCAATAGAATAAACTCAATGAGTTCAACAGATATTTACAGTAAATGTTTAAGGATTTAATTAAGAATTCAGTATAATTCTATTTTGTAAAACAATCTCCAGGTAACTTTATTTACATAAGGAAAATCTGGAAGATGAACCAAAATGCATGTTTAAGTGATTTATTATTTTTATTAATTTTATTTATGCATATGCATCTGTGTGCATGGACATGTGTGAGTCCCGAGGCTTTGGCTGCCCTGGAATCGGAATTACGGAGAGTTGTGAGCCTCCTGATGTGGGTGGTAGGAACCAAACGAGTCCTCTGGAAGAGTGACATGTGCTGTTAGCTGCCAAAACATCTCTCTCGATTTTTTTTTTAACATTTTTTTTCTTGTGTTTGTGTATTACAAATTTGTGATTAGAAAAAAAAGAACAGAACAGTTAAGGAAAACAATAGAAAGTTGGAATCTGGGGCTACAGACATGTAAAAGAAATGTCGGAGCAAAGATCACCTCAGTTTAAAACTTAATAATAATAACAATAATAATAATGATACTGATAATGCTTTTTTTCTTTTTTCCCCAGTGTTGCATCAGAGCCAAGAAAACTTTACGAAATGCCAAAATGTTCCAAATCAGAAAAAATTGAGGACGCTTTATTATGGGAATGCCCAGTGGTGAGATTTCTTTCTAGAGCATTGCTTTTTAAAGCTTCCCCTACACTTCAATGTTTGTTTAGTTATCTATGTTTACATTTACCTCATTTTAAAAAAAGAATTCTATACACGAGTACTGTATTTACATAATTTCTTCCTCGCTCTCTTCCTATTTCAATTCCTTTCATGTTCCCCTATACACACTTCTTCTCAAGTTCATGGCCTCGTCTTGATTATTGGACACGCACACTCGCGCACACACACACGCACACACACACACACACGCGCACACAAATGGTATGTAAATAGAACCTGCTGAGTCCGTTTACTCTTGTTCATGTACATATGTGTTTAGAGCTGACTTTGGGTTGGATAACCTGTGGTGAGGCTTGTCCCT